AATTGGTAATGAATTTCTTTAAAGAAAAGGACAAACATTCCTTTTGTGTCTTTTCTTTCCAGGAAGTAAGAACACAACAGTGGCAGCCTGAATCCAGGGGCATTGGATTCTGCTTTGCTAAAGGTAGGAAACCAGAAAGGAAGAGATGTCAGGAAATCATGCAGAGCCCCTACAGAGAGGAACAACTCTCCCTTCAGTCTCTCATTTCATGCAGGAGGTCAGCACCATTGCTGTTTCTAGAAAAGACACTAGGATGACAAATCACCACTCTTCCCAAAAACCCCTTCCTCAGTTCTGTTTCTCTGCAATGGCCCCAGCAACCATAGTGCAGAGGACATAACCTTGTAACCCCTGGCAAGTGAGGTGGGCAGCCAGCAAGTGAGCAATCTTCTATTTGCCCGAAGTTCCATCACCCTTTTCTGCTATTAATTGCATAATCTCTGATAGTTCCTTGTTTCAGCTATTCCAAGAAAATATTTTAATTTTGAGCAAGACAGCACTTCTGGGAAAGAAAGTAGTAAAAAGATCAACTGTGTAAAGTAGTACCCCAGTGATCACAGAATCATACAATAGTTTTGGTTGGAAGGGACTTTTAATGGTCACATAATCCACCACCCCTGCAATAAGCAGAGACATCAGCTAGATCAGATTGCTCAGAGCCCCGTCCAACCTGACCTTGAATACTTCCAGGGATGGGGTATCTAAAACCTCTCTGAGCAATCTCTGAAGTGTTTCACCACCCTCACTGTAAAAACTGTGTTCCTTACGTCTATTCTGAATATACCCTCTTTTAATCCAAAACCATCGCTGCTTGTCCTATTGCAACAAACCCTACTAACAAACTTGTCCTCATCTTTCTTAAAAGCTCTTCTTATATACTGAAGGACTGCAAAAATGTCTCCCTGAGGCCTCTCTGGTCTGGGCTAGACATGCCAACTCTCTTAGCCTTTCCTCATAGCAGAGGTGCCTCACCCCTTTGATCCATTTCTGTGGCCCTTCTCTGGACTCACTCCAACAGTCCCTGTCTTTCCCATGTTGAGGACCTCAGACGGATGCAGCAGACCCCTTCCAGGTGGGATCTCACAAAAGCAGAGAAGAGGGACAGAATCCCCTCCCTTGCCCTGTTGGCCATAGTGCTTTTGATGCACCCCAGGACACAGCTGGCTTTCTGGGCTGTGAGTGTACATTGCTGGCTCGTGTCCAGTCTCTCATCCACCAGCACCAACAAGTCCTTCTCTATGGGATTGCTCTTGATTCCTACATCCCCTAGCCTCTATGAATACCAGGTGTTGCCCCAAACAACCCCAGAAAAAGTGCAATTAGCCTTTTTAAACCTCATGTGGATCCCATGGACCCACTTGTCCAGGTGCCTCCGGATGGCATCCTGTCCTTCAGATGTGTCAACAGCATCACCCAGCTTGGTGTCATCTGCAAATTTGCTAAGTGTGCACTCAATCCCTCTGTCTGTGACAACAATGAAGATATTAAGCAACACTGGTTCCAATACAGATCACTGAGGGCACCACTTGTCACTGATATCCATCAGGACTCTGAGCCATTGACCACTATCTTCTGGATGTGACTGTCCAACCAATTCTTTACCCATTTAACTAACAGTCAAGCCAGAGAATCCATCTCCCTCCAATTTAGAGAGAAGGATGTTGTGGGGGACTGTGTCAAAGTCCTTACAGAAGTCCAGATAAATGACATCTGTAGACCTTCCCTTGCCCACTGATGTAGCTACTCCACCACAGAAGGCCACTGGGTTGGTCAGGTAGGACTTGACCTTGACAAAGCCATGCTGGGTTTCCCAAATCACTTCCCTGTTCTCCATGTGCCTTAGCAGAGCTTCTAGGGGGATCTGTTCCACGAACTTTTCAGGCACAGAGGTTGGTAGTTCCAAGGATTCTCTTTTCTACCCTTTTTAAAGACAGGTACAATGCTTCCTGTTTTCCAGTTACCTGACTGCCATGCCTTTTTGAATCTCATGGAGAGCGGTTAGCAACTATACCAACCAATTCCCACAGTACTCTGGAATGCATCTCCTCATGTCCTGCAGACATGTTTGGGTTCCTCATGAACCTGATCTCTCACAGTGGGAAGCCCTTTGCTCCCCCAGTCCCTGTCTTGCAGCCCATTTACTTGAGAAGTAAGGGAAAAGAGACTGCAAGTGAAGAATGAGGCAAAAAAAGTTCTTAAAGAGCTCAACCTTTTCTTGTCCATTGTTACCAGTTTGCCAGCTGTGTTCATTGGGAACTATACACTTTCCTTGACTTTTATCACCAAACTGTTTTAAAAGGTAATACTATACATAAAGGTGATGATGCAAACTAACTAAAACTGAGTTGCCTATATAATTTCATAGAAAAATACCATATTTTACTCAGATATACTACACCCATTCCCTTTAATTGAAGGTTACATGTCAGAAAGATAATACTTCACAGTGGCACTTACTCCACTTAACTTTTCTAATTCATCAGGTTTAGACAGCACAGAACTGGTGAAACATCTTCTTAATCATAAAGACTTTATCACCCTGCAATTCCCAAATTTTATAGTGGTACCTATACTCCTCCTGGCTGTTAACCCCCACAAGAATGATAGCTGATGTGGTATGGACACAGAAACACCCACAAGCTCCAACCATCCAAGTGAAACCACTTTGTTCCTCAAAGCAAAATAATTTCTATTGTAAATATGTAAGAAAATATATCTGTCTACACAGTATCTTCCTAGCTAGTACAGAGCAATATACTAGCTTTCATTAACCTCAGTTTTGCTGGAAGGAGGGCATACAGTATACTCATCTGCATTTCTGTACCTGGAACAATACTTATGCAAATTATTTAGCAATATAACAAATGGACAATTACATTGGCATAAGCTTTTCTCATGCATAGCCCATAAGCTCTTTAAAACATAAAGGAAATACACAGTGGTATCATCATAACAGCTTTCCATATCCTATCCCACAAGCATGGCTGGTCCAGACAAACTCCAGCTACCACTTCTAGTACAGTTTCATGGTCAACATACAGCACGATAATTTTTGTATGGGATGTAGTATAGAACCCTCTAATCTGAAAAGACAAAAGGATCACGCAGGAACAACTACCAAAATCTGCTGAGCTACAGCAAGTTTCAGATCCATGAGTTTGACTCATCAACAGAGTGTGACTCGAGAGGAAAAGTGCTGTACAATCAGTGTTGTAATCAAAAGTGCTGTACAACAGTGTTGTAATCAAAGATTTTCACTCACAAGATCATTTTCTCGAAAGACTTCTAGAAAAGATACAGTTTCATTTCTAATTTCTTTGAAGATTAAAAAACTTAACATTCATGAAATTTAAAAAAATTAAACCCTCTAGATAGCAGGATTCACTGACAGAATTACAATTAAAGAAATAAAAAACACACTAAAAACAAATACTAAAAATAAACACTGTTATGAAAAATCTTATTTGTGTAATACATGCATCTTAGAAATCACTCTGTCACTTCCAACTAACCTCCTCAACTAGGACACGGTGGGATTAGTCTGTGCTATTGTAACCACACTTAGCAAAATGTTTTAAAGCCAGTTTCATTCCCCAAAATCACACAGATACGTTGCAGGGAACCACTTACATTTAAGTTCACCTAAGAGACAGAAATATTAATGCAGTTACACTCCCACATTAATGAAGTGGTTTACAGGGCTCGCAAACACTTGCCAGTAGTGAGGACCAAATAATCTACTGCATTAAGAATCAGGCAGATGCACTTGTTTCATGGAACTATGCCTACATGGATCAACCTTCTAGCAATTCACCTGGACTTCATTTTTTCTTGGTATTTCTTAGCAGCTCCAAACTACTGAATTAATACGTTTAATAAAAGAAGCTAGCCTTGAATATCCACATTCAGTCAAATCCCTTGGCTTTTGATCCACAGCCTCCCCTGTCTCTACCCAGCAACATGTGGAAGTGTTACAGTCCAGCAGTTTTGTGGGATGAGAAAACCACTGGGAACAAAGAGGACCTCTAAAAACTGTTCAGACTAACCTGCCTGCTCAAGAAGGATCGGCTATACAGCAGGCTGCCCAGGACCGTGTCCAGGTAGTTTTAAAGAACCTGCAAGGACGGAGATTCACAGTCCCCTGGACAACCTATGCTTGACCACCCTCATGGCAACAAACCAGTCTTGTCCTACACTTAGATGGTGTTCCCTGTGTCTGATGTTTGCCCACTGCCATGCATACGTCACCAGATACCAACAAGAAGAGTCCTGCCCCTCAATTCTCTTCATTCAGATCATTTGTACACATTGATGAAATGTCCCTGTCCCATCTCTTTTGTGTGACATCCCGGCTCTCTGAGCCTTCTCTCATGCAGGAGATAGTCCAGTCTCTTCATGATGTTTGGCTCTGCACTGGGCTCACTACAACTACTTTCGTTGGGAGCCCAGACCTGGACCCAGCATGTGCCTCTCTCAGCAGGGAGCAGATGCCTCTCCCCTCTCCCACTGCACCAGCTCTGAGCACAGAGCTCGCCTGGGACAGCAGGAGCCTGGCGGGCTGGCAGCACCTTCCTGTGCAAGAACAGGGCAGGGTAGCGATGGAATGGGATGGACAAGGCTGGGCTGAGCAGGGATGGGATGGCATGCAATATGACCAGCAGGGCTTGGCTGGACAGGGCAGGAATGGACTGGGCAGGGATGGGATGGGATGGAATGGGATGGGATGGGATGGGTTTGGGATGGGTTTGGGATGGGATGGGATGGGTTTGGGATGGGATGGGATGGGTTTGGGATGGGCTGGGGATGGGCTGGGCTTGAGCAGGTCAAGGCAGGGCTGGACACAGCTGGGCAGTGCTGGCCTGGGCAGGGCAGCGATGGGTTAGGCAGGTCAAGGCAGGGCTGGGCAGTGCTGGGCTGAGCGAGGCGGCCCCTCGACGCCCGGCCCCCCGGGGCAGCCTTGGCTCGGAGCCGCCAGCTGTCCGTCCCGAGGCGCAGCTCACCGTGTAGCCGCGCTCCAGCTCGCTCTCCTCGTATCGGAAGGACGGGATGAACACCTCCATGCCGGCGCCCTCACCGCGCCGCCGCCATCGGCGCGATCACGTGACGCCCAGCACGTGACGGGGGGCGGGGCCGCGGCCGGCTGACCCCGCCCCCCCGGGTGCCCCGGCGCGCCGGGAGCGGCGGGAACGGCGCGGGATCCTCGGGAAGGAGCGGGTTTAAAGGCAGTGTGTGAGAACATCGGCTCTCGGCACAGCCAGACCTGCAGCGTTACGTCAGGACACAGAAAAATGAAGGGAAAAAAAAATTTAAATCCCCGAGGCATGAATTTATCCGGTTCTAAATTCGCACTGCAGCTCGAACCAGAATCACCGAAAATTTAGAAGAGATCTCTGGGGATCATGAGGTCCAACACCTCTGCAACGGCAGGGCCACCTATAACAGGTGACACAGGAACGTGTTCAGGAGGATTTTGAATTATCTCCATAGGGGGAAACTCCACGACCTCCATGGGCATCTTGCCACCCTCAAGATAAAGAAGTTTCCTTGTGTTGACATGGAACTTCTTGTGTTCTGGGTTACGGCCATTGCTCCTTGTCCTGTCACCGGGCAGCACTGAAAAGAGTCTGGCACCATCCTCTTGGCACCTGCCTTGGAGAGACTTGTATGTATTGATGAGATCCCTGCTCTCAGTCTTTTCTCCAGATAAACAGGCCCAGCTCTCACAGTCTTTCCTCATAAGGGAAATGCTCCAGACCCCCAACCATCTTTGTGACCTCCCACTGAACCCTCTCCAATACCACCTTGTCTTTCCTTGCTCTGAGGAACCCAGAATTAGACACAGCACGCCAAATGTGTTCCCACCATGGCTGAATAGAGGGGGAAGATCACCTCCCTCTACCTGCTGGCCACATTCTTCCAGGGTACCATTGTCCCTTCTGGCTGCAAGGCCACACTGCCAGCCCATAGTCAACTTGTCATCCACCAAGACACCCAGGTCCTTCTCTGCAGAACTGCTCTCTAGTAGTTCTTGCTTAACTTATGCTGGTACTTGGGGTTATTCATTCCCAGGTGCAGGACCATACCCTTGCCTTTGATGAACTTCATTAGGTTCCTCTCTGCCCAATTCTCCAGCCTATTGAGGTCCTGCTGAATTCTGCCATGACCAGTTTGGTTAACAAACAAATACAGTACTTTTCATAATGCCTGTTGTAAACAGACATGAAAACAAGGTGGGGAGGAGGGGAAAACAGCGCTGCGGAAAGTTGCCCATGTTGTGTCTGTTCCTGAGAAGCCGCCTCTTAACTTTGTTATTTAGCAGAGCAAATCAAACAATTTCAGAGATATGCAGATGATTTCTAGCCATTTGAGAAATTAAATAATACTTCTCACTGTCCAACATAAGTAGGTGTTCTATGGCTTAAAGAGCAATGGAGCAGAAACAGAAGGTGGAATATCAGGTGCATTTAGTAGGCAATACTGTTGCATGGGCAAACATTCCCACCTCATAAATCTGCTAACCCCAAGCTTCAAACCATTTGGAAGCACTGCAAAATGACAACTGCAGCTTTGTATTAGATATTGCAGCTGTAAGGTTTTATGAATGATGGAAAGTCTCAAGACACTAAACGGGTTGAGATGGGCAACGTCACCATTCAGTTCTTACTGAACTTTCACAGAGCAGCTACCAGTATAAATTCATGTATATACAGGGTTTGATTTTGCATAAGCAGAGTCAAGTATAATAACATACATCAAAAAACGACAGAAAACAAACTATGTGATGTCTCTGGTTACACTATCGGCTTCTTGAAATGTCTTTTGAAAACTAACTTGCTTCCTTCTAGGTTAGTGACAGTGGGGAGGGAGAGGAGAACATTACAGGTTCCTTTTCTTTCCATTTCTCTTTATTTTACTGGCAGGTAAATTTAATTATATTTTGATCTAAGCAAACAGCTGTGACTTTAGGAATTCAATACAAAATAGTAATTGTCTGAATAAAACCAAGAGGATTAAGGCAAACTGAGTTCGCTTTGTTAATCTAAAGCAAAGTAGCAAACAAAAATAATAAAAAAAATAGCTGCTTCTGCACATCACTGCTCCTATGCCAGTACCCTCAACTGCTGATGGCAAGCAGGACAGTCCGAACATTGCTCACACCACTGTGGCAGAGGTGTCAAGAGCAGTGTTTCCAGTCCTCCTGTGTGTCCTTGGGCAGACAGGCATGAATAAAAAATCCCATTCTTACCCAAAGCACCCTCTGATTAACACATTATAGTAATCCCAAGGGAAGACTAGCACTATACAGTGGTAGTCGTATCAGCCTGGGAAATGTGGGCATGCTAGAAAATAATTATCATGCTATCATAACTGTTACTTTCTGGCTAAGAATCCAGTCTTCAGGTTTAGTTTCTCTTCTTCCCCTAATGCAAAACAGATGGTAACTCTAATGACACCATTTGTGCCATAATGCATTTATGCTGATGAGAAACTAGTAGAAGAATTTCATAGGAGCACTGTTTGTGGGTGTTTGCAATCTAATAAGCAATAATTTCAAAAAGCTACTTTTCTTCTTAATATCATATAACTTATTAACAATGAAAAGTTTTAGACATTAATCTGGTTTCAAATTCAATACAATATAATAGAACTTTTGACTGTGTATCAGCCAAGAGGAACAAGGAAAATTACATGGTGAGCTGAATAAGTCAATATGTTTTGGAATGTTAAATACTTAATTTGCACAATGTATCATCATTAGTTGGCTAATCTTTAAAGTTACATAAAAAAAAAAATTGTCTTTATGTCTAACACATTGAGGATCAAAAATTTAAGAAACATTAGTTTATAAAATGCTATCAGAGTTTGTTCAAAACCATCCAGGAGTTGTGTCTTTGAAAGATAACTGCACAGATGACACAATGCTTCCAACAAACAACAAAGCAAGGAGAATGTATTTTAAATGTAGCTTGACTTGAACTGGCGTATTAAAGCTATGTTTGTAATCTTAAAAGCAACACTGTAAAAAGGTTGAGCTGTACTGGTAACAGTGACACAAACAGTATTCAAATTCATCTGTTGAGCAGGCTCCCAAAGGGACTCTAGGAAATGTAGGTGTTGGTCTTCAGCGTTGGGTGTTGTTACAGGTTGTTACAGGTATCAGTATCTTGGATAATATTCTTAAATTAACCTGATCCAGAATGTAAAATAAATTAATAATATACTCCCTCCAGTTGTTAACTGTTACCTGTCATCATATTCTACCTTAACCTTCCATGATTACTGAAATGAATCTATGAATCAACAATCTCCCCCTTTGTTGGCCACTTCTGCATTTCTTTTTTTCCAAAGTAGTCACAATGCAATTCCTCATACAGGGAGGAAGGACTTAACACTCATCACGCTAGAATGGCTCACAGGAGAGAAAAAGGAATGAATATAGGCAACTCTGAAAGATCAGTTTCCACTAATTCTTATGATTCAAGGACTTTCTAAATGGCTAGTTTCCAGAACAGATGCAAAGAAATCCATAAAAAAATGACAGCAAAAGTAATAAGTAAAATACACATCAAAACAAGAGGCCAGAATAAAAAAAATAGTAGTCCTAAATTTGTCGATTTTGCAGTTGCAACCAGTAAGGCTGGTTTTAAGTAAACTTGCCAAAGTCAACAACAGATATATAGTTTATCTCAAGTCTTTTCTTGCCCTTCCATTTTCATTGCATATTTCTTTTACTTTATTTTTCATACGAATATCCTGCTAGAAGGATTCTGCCTAAATTGCTTTGTGTACATTTTGGATATGCTCTTTCTTAATGATATATTTTCCTAATGACAGAAAAAAGATATGGATTTATATCCCTTCCCTATGTTAGTCATTTCCTCATTGATCTGGGGGAAAAACAAAAAAAGAAAGAAAAAGTAGTGTTTACCAGTGAAGTCAAAGGATTATTAGCAAGTTCACCCCCAATTTAACCATGGAAGACAAGAATTAAGAAAAAAACAGTAGAATCATCTTAGCAGGTAACAAGTAACATCCTGAGCAACCTGAAACTTCAGCTCCTCACCTGTTACAATCCTGAACTTCTTTCTTACATGATTGTAGTGGACTCATACTTTGCCACAGATTAAAATTATTCCACAGAACGTTCTACTCTAAAGTAGAAGAAGAGAAGAAAATGTAGGTTTGGTTTTTTTTTTCCTATTTGTTTTTCTTTAAGACAATCATTTCACTGTTCACATAATTTTAATGGATGTTTACTGTTCGCTTAAATGCACAGGCTATACTAACCAGCAACTCATCTTCACAGTTTGAAAGAAACTGACATATTTGGGGCATGAGCTCCACAGATGCTGAAATAAACTCCCATATGAGGCTTTCAGAGGGAAAATAACTTAGGAGAGTTAGACAAGGGAATATTGCATAGGGAAGCAGAATATTTTGTTTTAAAAGGGATAGTGACTAAAGAATCAGAGACTTATTGTACACTGAACATCAGTTTAAGAAAGAAGTCACGTCTTCAGTTTGAGCCACTTCACGTCATATATTTTTAGTTCAAAAAGGACCATTGACATAATGGATAGAAGAATGGGGATGATTTTAAGTTGTTGCAAACATCTACAAACTATTTTAACCTAAAATGTAAACTATACTTCTGTAGTGCTTTGTCTTTTATTCAGTATTCCAAGTGCAGTTCATGATTTAGCAAACATTTTGTTCATGCTAGTGTGTCTTCTGTGGTACACTGCCTGGAGTTTCAAGGAAATACTTTAATTCAGCACAATGTGCGGGAGTGAGTTTCAAATAAGTAGTTCAGCAACACCTCCATACACCTGCATTAAGAAACATCTGCTAACGCAAGGTGTTAATTGTACTAAGAAAGGCAATAAGCAAACCTTTAATCTTCATAATGAGTGGGAAGATACACAAAATAAATTAACAGATCCTTGAAACAACCACAGTTTTATGCTAGCCAAATCTGACAGCTAATCTGGATCTTCTATTCAAGCTAACCTTGTGATGCAAAAAAACCCTGTAAGTTTTTGTATAAGCAACCTGTGACACTGAACTCCAAAAATGCCATTATCCTTTTGTTCCTCAACAGGTTTTAAGA